ACATATACCCAATTCTGAACATCACCTAGGAATTTCTCTAAACTAGATCAAAATTTCAACAACTAGCAGTCAACTATTGTTTTATGACAATAACTGAAAAATGAAATTCTAAAGATTAAATTACTAAAACTCTAGTTGAAACATGCAGATAATGCAGAATATGACTAACATGGACAATAATAAGTCTCCATTATCCTCAAAAAGAACAATGAAAAATGTGTCCTTAAGTACATATCTTGTATAGAAATTATAAAATAATTTATCTTAAGATAACATATAAACAGTATAAGCCTTACTTATTTTTCTCACCTTTTCCATATAACTGATATGATTTTGTAAAAATATTAATGACACTATGTGGACTTCCCTTTGCCAATTCTTCCCATGGTCCTTTGCTTTGTGTACCACCTATGTGCCCAAAAAGTGGCAAGAATTTTTCAGCTTCCTTCTGAAACTCTTTGAGGGGTTCATAAGTATTTCTTTCTCCAGAACAAAATTCCTTTTCTTTTAAAATTTCTGCTATCTTCAAAAGGGGCCGTCCATCCTGGACTCCCTCTTCTCCAGAGAGACTCCCCTCACTGAGCAGAGGCCCTTCACTGACTGAATCTATGCTGGAACCAAGTGACACTTTGGCTTTGTCTTGAGAACAGGCTGGCACATCAGAGCTAGAAGAGTCAGTCTGCCTCTTACACAACTGTGCCAGCAGACCTTCTGGTTTGGGACCAGGGGATCTCATTCTAAAGCTTGATATGGCACTCTGAGGTCTTATTATCTCAGGAAGCTTTTTAAATTCACTAAGGTTGCCTACACCAGGGAGATCATCATCAAAAGTTGCGTGAGATACACAGGTTCCCAGCATCTTCTGAATTCGGGCAGAGAAAACATCTTCAGCATCATCTTTCACAGGTGGACTTATAGCCTTGGTCCAAGGTCCGTCTTCTTGAGGTGCTTTCTGCACATCGTACTCAGAGCTCCAGGCTGACCCGTAGTTAATGTTGGCCCCAGCTAACTTCTTGGCTTCACTTTCAATTCTGCTAGACAAGGACACAGCTGTTGCTTTCAAGGCTTCAATACGATCCAGTTTACTCTTATACTGGCTGGCACTAGGCTTTAACAAGGCATCTGGATGAGCAGCTGGTGAGGTCAGATACGGTTGAGGTGTAAAAGTTAATGGCCCTGAAGCCACATTATGATTCTTCCTAGTCGGTAAAATAGACTCAACATCCTTAGGCAACATTCCTACGTGCTCTAGACTCAAGAGGTGGGAGAGTAAACTTCCAGCTGTTCCAACCAGAGGCTGTGGTTGGGAACGGTGAACTCGTGGGCTCAATCTGTCAGGATGCATCCATGTGGGTTCTATCAAGTCCCTTCTGGAAATGAAAGTCACAATATGTTAGTTAACTAAATCACCATTTTTTTAAGTTTTTGTTTTTTCTCATTATAAGACTAA